ATACATTTTTTTGAGCAGCACAAACGACCATAAAGGCGGTTGCGAACTAACTGAGGGCGTATGGTATTAGCTGGATGGTCAATAATCGTTACATAATTTTGCGAGTGCCACTCGTAACATCACGGATCTCAGGAAGACGAAATCGCCATCGAAACGTCAGCCATCGACCAACAACACCAACAACAACGACGACGGCAACGAAGACCTATACCAACCTCATATCAGCTAAAGAAAATCAGTTTATAAGATGATATAAATAAACAAGTTGGACGTAGTAGAAAGCCACGGATCTCCCTCATATGAGGGATCCCGAGCCGGTTAGTCGCGAGGCTACCTGGCGCATCTCTAGGTGGCGGATAGGGCGTTAATTATGGACCAAAAGCGACCTTCGCATCCCTGAGACGATCCAGGGTATGGAGTCCCTGTTTCTGCTGCGCCGATTTGGCACATACTTTCTGTATTTCGGGACAATTCGTGCGTATTCGTGCATGCGTGTGTGGGTGCATTCCTGCTTACGCGGATTGTATTCTACGAGTTAATTCGGCCAAAAGCTTGCAACCAAGTGGCTGGGAAGTATATGGGAGGCGGTTGGGAGCGGCCTCCAACAAATAAGCTCCATGTCCACTCTGGTAGAGTCTGGCAAACTGCCCGTGAGTAAACCCAGCCCCCACGTTCAGAGCCCAGCAAGCTATACGTGGATATCAAAAATGATAAACAGTAAAAAAAACCGGGCCTCATTCCCCTAACCCCGAAAGAGCCCCAATTTCGCAGCGTTGGGTAGGACGAGTATGGAGAGGCTGCTAAAATCTCAGGACCAGTGGAAGCTGCCTGGATTTCACCGAAGTATGGTGACGATTTGTGCCTACAATGCAGGTGCACTTGCATCCGAGTCCTCGATAGAAGACTTGCTTAAGCAAGCAAGAAGGATAAAGTACGACGTCATCGGCCTGGCCGAGACGAGAAGACGCCAGCCTTTCAACGCCGTCTATGACACTGGAGAAGTGTTTTTCGGAACATGCGACATAAGAGGAGTCGGCGGCGGCGGCGGCGGCGTTCTCGTCAACACGAGTTTGTCCATGAACATCGATTCATTCGAACAATGTTGTCCCAAAATTCTACACGGGATCAGACCATCGTCTCCTTCGTGCAAGATTCAATTTCTCGCGGAAAGCAGAAAAAGCCGTTAAATTCCAAAACCGAAGGCCCAGAACCACCGCAGACTGGGGCTCATTCAATTCACTAGTCGGCTGTTGGGAAGGTGCCGTTGTCGATAATATCGACGAAGAATACGATCGGCTCATTTAACATCTTCACGTTAGCGCCATGAGAGCTGGGAGTTCGAAAGTCACTAACAGACGTCTTTCTCCAGAAATACTCGAGCTGATACACCAGCGTGGAACCGCACGAGTTGTAGATAACCGCGAACTAACGTCCGAACTTGCAAAACAATGCAGACAGGCGATAAAAGATCATAAAGAGAGAAGAGCAAGAGCAGCAGCAATGGTCGAAGCTGCAAAGGCTGGAAAAAGCATTCGTAAAGTCCAACGAAACCTCGCCAATACCAAAATGACTGCAACCCCGCGCCCAGACGGAACAGCTATAGCGTCCAGAAAGGCAATGGAGAATATTATTCACGAATACTACTCGGATTTCTTCGATAGCCACGTCCACCTTCCGTCATATGAAGTAAAGGAGGATGGATATGTTGCACCACCCGTTCTCCCTTCCGAAATGCGATATGCCATTTCGTTGGTGAAAAATCGAACAGCACCAGGTCCGGATAGGATAAGACCAGAACACTTGAAGAACCTTCCGCTAGTCCTCGTAAACACACTGGCTCTGTTCTTCACACGTTACCTGTCCGAATATGAGGTCCCTATTCAGTAAAAGACCAGCAAGACCGTGTTGTTGTTGAAGAAGGGTGAACTGCACGATATCAGCAACCATGGCCCCATCTGTCTGCTGTCTGGCGTCTACAAAGTTTTCACTCAAGTTATCCTAAACAGGATTGACAGAATACTAGACGATGGAGAGCCATGTGAGCAAGCAGGGTTTCGAAAACGATTTAGTACGATGGACCACATCCACACGGTAACAAGGCTCATTTGAAATATCGCGAAAGTACAAGAGACCGCTCTGTCTCACTTTCATCGATTTACAAAAGGCCTTTGATTTAGTTGAGATAGAAGCAGTCATGGAAGCCCTTGATAGTCAAGGAATCCCTACTCAGTACATAGAGATTCTTCGTTAGCTGTACAAAAATTTCACAACCAAGGTATCACCATTCTACAACGATATTAACATTGACGTCAAAAGAGGAGTTAGGCAAAGCACCCATCTCGCCACAATTGTTTGTCGCTAACCTCGAGAACGTCATGCGAACATTGGAATGGGACAAAATGAGAGTGAAAATCGATCGATGGTCGGCAGTAACACCATCTTCACTCTGCTGATGACATTGTTCTTATAATACCAAATATTGGCCAAGGGGAACGTATGTTTGACGACTTTGATAAAGCCTGTGGAAAGATTGGTCTTCGACTGTCTCACAAAAACGATGTTCATGAAAAACGGATTGGTTTCGCATGCCCTATTCACGCTCAACGGAACGAATATCTCCGAATACTCTAGTTATGTTTATCTAGGTGGGGAAATCAATATGATCTCCCTAGCTCCAGAGCTGGGCAGAAAGAAACGAGCGGCTTGGGGAGCTTTCAAGAGCATCGGGGATGTGGTGAAGAGAACAAAGAACACCCGACTCCGTGCCCACCTTTTCGACTCAACTGTACTTCCTGCCCTAACGCATGCGTCAGAAACTTGGTGGCTGCCTAAGCAGGATGTAAGTTCACTCAGTGTTATCGAACGTGCAGTTGAAAGGACGATGCTGAGGGTATCCCATTTAACACAAGCAAGAGATGGGATCCGAAGCTCCGACCTGCCACTGGAATCCTAGGGATGTCAAACGTGCTGCAGGAAGTCCACCGACCCGATGGTTAGAGTTGTTTACGAAAAGCTTGGAGGAAAGATATTATGCTCAACGAGTCCTTAGAGCGAACAGAACCCACTGGGCTACTCTTGCACGCGATATGAAAAAATTGAAGATTTACTGGCGCCAGCTCTAGTCGCTCGACGATCAACGGGTCTATAGGTGATACAGGTGATAGTAGAAAGAGCATTTTAGCTATTATGACCACTGCAAGAGATGTTGATTGGCCGAATAAAACCCACCCAATGTCATGAAACTTCCGGCTCCTATTTGCTATTAACGTGTTTTTAAATAGCAACATACCGTGTAAAGTACGAAAGATAATTCTCAGCGTTAATCAATCCTTGAGAGAAGCGCCGTGCAATCCACTCCTTTTGCCTCTTCATAGAGATGGCGGGGTCCATATCCGGTCTCTACAATCATTCGCGATGGCCTAGCGATATATCAAGTTAATACTGCTATTCTCCCAGCCAAATCTGGTGCCATTTTAGTGACCTAGAAGAGAAGGAAGGATTGGTGAGCCAGAGGTGCGGGGTCTAACCAAAGACCACATGATTACTGCAAGGTACCTCCAACCATTGCCCTACAGCGTGTTCAACAATATACCTTAGACACAAACAATCCTCAAAGCTCTTCAATTTAAACTGTTAAATCCTAAACGCTAACGAAGCCTCCTCGGTCGAGTATGTTGCTAATGAGTCTACCCTCTAGGGTTCTTAATAGCTGAACTCTAAAACCATGCTTAATGGACTGAACAAGCAGGACTACTGACGAAAGTCAGCAGGTGACCATCATATCGTGGTCAAGGTCAGCAGGTGGTCAAGTTGACAGCAATCTATTCGGCCAAACACTTCCATAACCAAACAAAGAAAACGCCAAACCAAAATTTCAATTGCATTGAACACAGCTTTGCACACTCACCGCTTTCTATGAGTCTTCCACTGAGTATGTGGCGTGAAGACCAATCGCACAGAATTCACATGGAAGCGTGATGTGCCCCTCCCATCAGAATAACAGGCTTATATACTGCCCAATATCACGCGTAATAACGAAGCATTCTTCCCTGTGGTTCATTTTCGGATTTTTGGAATTAATCCAGAATGCCTCGAGAGTTTTACGCGCTTGTGTTCTCCATTCCTGTGCAAGAATCGTAACACGTACTTCAAAGTCCTCCCCGTTATGTATCTGGGTCCTATGCGTGCCTATTGGGGTATTTGGTTGACGTTTGCCAGCTGGATGTTCTTTTATGTGGACACAGAGGGGTCTGCCCGTTTCGCCAATGTATTCGTCTCCGCACGCCTTACTGGAGATCAGATAATCAGAGAATATCAATTCAGCCCTAATATTTACCCAGTTATTGAAACACATTCCAGGACATCTTACGAATACCCAGATGTTTCTGGATCGTCTGCGTATTGTGCAGCCCAGCAGCGCGTACGTGATGGAGTCCTTCGACGTTACCGCCCTTTATACAAACGTGTCGAATGACTCCGCTGAGCAAACCATATTCGATCTCCTCATACAATATAAAGGAGCAGTAAACATGTATGGCTTCAGGATAGAGCACCTGAGGGCACTCTTAAAAGAATGCTTGAGCTGCTCAATCTTCAGATGGTCCGGAAAGTACTACGCTCAAAAAAGAAGGTTGGCAATGGGACAACGATTGGCGCCAAGTCTTGCCATTGCGTTTATGTCCTAGGTGGAAGCACCAGTGACCGATCTTGGGCTTCCTTCTATGACGTGAGGTGGTGAGACAACCAGTGAGAAGTGACAAAATTTCGGGTTAAGCAGGACGTCACTGCAACTGGATCTGACGAACACACGAGCGACACGCTATGGAGTTTCTTTTCTACTCTGAAAGTATAATATAATGCCAGAACAATTGTGGCCGATCATTATGCCCACCTTGAAGCCACAGATCGCAACTCGAAGCATTTGACCATTTCCTCTTGTGTTGAGCAATGGACAAAACAGTCATCTATATATCTACAGTAGAGTAACCGCCTGAGATCGGTCACTTGTGTTTCCACCTTAGACGTAAACTCAATTGCAATACTAGGTGCCAGTCGTTGTCCCATTGCCAACACTCTTATTTGAGCGTAGTACTTTCCAGACCATCTGAAGATTGAGCAGCTCAAGCATTCTTTTAAGAGTGCCCTCAGGTGCTCTATCCTGAAGCCATATATGTTTATTTTTCCTTCGTGTTGTGTAAGGAGTTCGAAAATGGCTTGCATTGCGGAGACATTCAACACGTTTGTATAAAGGGCGGTAACGTCGAAGGTCCCATGACGTACGTGCTACTGGGCTGCCCAGTACGTAGACGATCCAGAAACATCTGGGTATTCGTAAGATGGGTTGGAATGTGTTTCAGCAACTGGGTAAATATTGAGGTTAAAAACCACGTTATCCTATCCGTTGGCCCGTCTACACGGCTAGTGATAGGTATAAGCTTAAACAATGATGGATCAGTAGACACAAGATCATCGCTGGATACCAACTTATGAGTTTTTATAAGCAAGCACAAGACGGGACATATTAGTAAGTCAATTTTTAGTTGAGAGGTAGCTAATAATTTTAAACCAGCAGCCCTTGCCATTTTGACCCATTCGTGGTTCGATTTTCGGTATCTTCTACGTCCGACTTTCTATTAACCTCGGCATTGATTGAATAACTCTTTCTACTGCTGTTTAACAAACACGAGGTGTTATCTTATTTCTTTATTTGTGACAAGCTGACGTTTCGGCGGATTTCGCCATCCTCAGAGCCTCGAAAGGTCAAGTTGACTGCAATCTACACGGCCAAACACCTCCATAACCAGAGGAAATGCTGAACCAAAATTTCTGTTTGCCTCGTGTTTGCTAAACAGAAGTAGAAGGAATTATTCAATTTTCAGTAATTACTTTTAAACTCCTTCTGAGATGATGGGCGATAAAATGAAGCATCTTCAAGATGCTTTTTCGTTATCTCAGCATTTAACTAGTGGGGAATTACGACAAACTCTCCGCTCTTATCACTGACGGATAGTCTTATGTTTTTCAACCTTATCAGCTCTCATACCTCTCGCATACCACGTTTTTGCACTTCAGTGAGCTTTGAGCTGTATCTTTTCGTGCGATAGTGATTAAGGGCTTTGAAAGTTTCATTCGTAAACATCGGTGACGGTGATTGCATGAGCTCGGGTATGGTTTATCTGATCTGTAAGGCGTGCGGAGACGAATACATTGTTGAAAAGGGCAGACCTCTCTGTGTCCGCATAAAGGAACACCTAGTCGGCAAACGTGAACCAAATACACCACTAGGCACGCTTAGGAACCAGAGACATGATAGGGAGGACTTTGAAGTACGTGTCACGATCCTCGCACAGGAATGGAGAACACAAGCGCGCGAAACTCTCGAGGCATTCTGGATTAATTCCAGAAATCCGAAAATGAACCACAGGGAAGAATGCCTCATTATCACGCGTGATATAGGGCAGTATATAAGCCTGTTATTCCGATGGGAGGGGCACGTTATGATTCCATGTGATTTCTGTGCGGCTGGTCTTCACGCGACATACTTAGTGGAAGCCTCATAGGAAGCGGTGAGTGTGCAAAGCTGTGTTCAATGCGTTTGAAATCTTGGTTTAGAGTTTCTTTGTTTGGTTATGGAGGCGTCTGGCCGAGTAGATTGCTGTCAATTTGACCTTTCCAGGCTCTGGGGAAGGCGAAATCCGCGGAAACGTCAGCTTATTCATGAATAAAGAATAAAAATAACACCTCGTGTTTGCTCAACAAGAATACGAAGAATTACTTGATCAATGCCGAGGTTAATAGAAAGTCGGTNCTGATGAGAGGGGCACATTATACTTCCATGTGATTTCTGCGCGGTTGGTCTCTACGTGACATACTTAGTGGAGACCTCATAGAAAGCGGTGAGTGTGCAAAGCTGTGTTCAATGCGATTAAAATCTTGGGTTTAGAGTTTCTTTGTTTGGTTATGGAGGCGTCTGGCCGAGTGAGTTGCTATCAACTTGACCTTTCCAGGCTCTGGGGAAGGCGAAATCCGCGGAAACGTCAGCTTATTCATGAATAAAGAATAAAAATAACACCTCGTGTTTGCTCAACAAGAATACGAAGAATTACTTGATCAATGCCGAGGTTAATAGAAAGTCGGTCGTGGGAGTTAAGTTGTTTTTCCTTAGAGTGCAAAATAGAATAATTACTTACAATTTTTATTGCATTGTCGCTTGAAATGGCGCGTGTAGCGCAGTGCTCGGAGGCGCCTTGCAGTACACATTGGATTGATCTCTACGTCGCAAGCCCACCAAACACCATCCCTCCGGGCTCGCCAAATTAGTGCCAGACTTATCTGGGAAGATAGCAGCACTGATTCGGCAAATCAGTAGGCCACTGGGAGTCATTGTAAAGGCGAGATATGCAGTCATTCACCTCCAACGGTGCTTAATGAACCCGAATGCATGGCACGCCCCTAAGGGGTATCGACGTCGAGAGCTTTATCCTTTATTTTTATTGTTAAAAACGTATCTCAAGGATGCACTCAATAAAGATTCTCAAACCTTACTGATACACTGATAGCAGTGTTTTACTATTGAGGTCCTATTGGGAAAAGCATACGCTTATTTGCCTAATGTCCAAAAATATCGATCCTTTGTTAAGTTAAAGTAATGGGATACGCGGACAACAAATGGCGACCATCATCATGCCTATGTACTCGTTCAACTTCTACAAGGAGTATGCATCTAGTTCTGACGGTAGGCGTGTCTCCTATGAAAATACGCGCTTCGTCGCCACTTGGCCAATATCGATTTTTCGTTATACTGCGCACACAGATGTGTTTGTGTGGCCACGTAGTGACGGTGGTGCTGGCGGTAGGTCATGATGGCTGAAGTTATTGTAAAGTTTTGTATATTCGACTACTACTGCTTCACTGTCGTCTACTCGTTGAGATAGGCTCTTTTAGGCCCAAATGAAACCCTTCGTGAAGGACTCCGCATTGGTTTCAGTTCCAGCCTTCATTGAACCACAACATGAATAACCTGTGTTCTTCCTTACTGATAAGCTCATAAGAGATTGTAACTAGCTCCCAATAAGTCTCATTTTCCGTAGTGTTCTCGAAGTCAGAAGAAACATATTTCGCTAACCACTTTTCCATGATGACTATCGATTACTTAATCAATAAGATCAATTGGTTGGCATGAAAATGAAGTTTCGTCAAGTCTCAAGCAGGTAGAGGCTTCAGTTATACTTGGACTTAGCGCCCGTATCATTACTGACATAGGACGAAACTCGGAAGCACTGGTAGTTTTGTAATCGTTAGTTTTCTCGATTGTCGCCGAGCTTATGATCATCGTCCTAAGAATATTCTTCTTCAGAAGTTTCCTCAGGTTTCCGTCATTATGCTTATGGTTTGGGATGTTAATGACCTACAACTAGTACAGCGCTACTTACTCGAGAACCTTATCAACTTCCAGCAGTACTCAGATCTCTAGGAGTGATGTCCTAATTCTTATCTTTCCGTCAGACTTTCACTAGAAAACAGAAAACAACTCGCGACAGTCGTTTTACAACTGCGTGTGGATAATCTAACTTGCCCTTTTTTCTTTCTCTAGGATATCTTTAGATCTATTTAGCGATAAATTGACCTCGTTGTCAATTCATGTGTTCATTTGCCCACTTCCCACGCAACTTCTTTCTACTTCTTTTTCAATCAATAATTCCTTGTATGTTGTTAAGGAAAGTAATTTACTGCTTGGTAGAATGTTGCTTGTGTCAGCTGTGAAGCATGTGTGCTATTGAGCAGTCAAGAAACTAAGACTAGGGATTCGTATCCCTTATTCCGTCTTTGAGTTTTTCATGCTGTTATCACGAATTGCTTTCGACCTAGATCGTCATTAGATACATGAAATTTCGTTATAATATGTGAAAAAAACTATGTAGAATATTTCGGTCCAAAATAAAAAGACGTAGAAGCAGTGAGTGTGGTCCTATAGCGAAGCAATCACCCCACCTGAATATTCCCTACAGTGTTTTAACGTTTTGTTTTCTGCCTTCTATAATTTTCATGGCAGGTTACTAAGCGAAATACAACCACAACGTTGCTGAGATATTTGCAAAACTCTGGACCGCAGGTGTCTATGGTGGGGAACGAACGCGCTATTATCCTTTCCGGGGAGTAACGCGTTCACCACCACACCATGCGGGTCCTTTGTTTCGCACGTCTCTCAGCTATTTCTATCGATCTTTTTGCCACGATTCCCTACAGTATTCCTTTCCTTATGTTTGTATAAATGACTGAGTCAATTAATACTATTACTAGGAACTCAATGTTTCTTTTTTCCATTATAGAGCCTTCCATTTCATTATGATCGAACTCTTAGAAACACATGAAAAACGCGGAAAAACTAGTCATTTTCATTCCCAAGTCAACATTTCTTTATTTCCTTTTTCATCCTTGTTATTTTAGTTCTTAGCGATTTTTGTCTTCTCATCTTTTCCTGGAGGAGGTCATTTCTTGTGCTGATCTTTTCTTTTTCTTACCTTTGGATGATTATTTCGATCATAAATAAAGCCGCTCAATGTTCAGTGGGTTACAACATCCAATCGATAGAATTC